AGCCCAGCGCTGCTACTGGCAGCTCCGGCTGATGGCTAAGGGGTTTTCTTTAGAGCCTGCTGGAGTGTGCTCTGAGCTTGGGGACTGCTTTTTGCCTCTGCCTTCGGCGTTGGCAAAGGGCCAGCAAGTAATTGCCTTGAGCACAGCCCTCTCCTTCCAGTTATTTATTCACATGCTGATGCTTCCCTGTCAAGTTTGGAGGCTAATCTAAAAACAGTAGCATAAATGGTTCTGGTGGAGTCCTTAAAGCCTGCTGCATGGAGGGGCAGTGGAAGGGGGAGAAACGTTGTATTTTTGGCTTGGGGGGTTGTTTGATTTTTGCTGGAAGATCTTTCTCAGTGCTGCCTCACGCAGTGTGGATTGGGTGTTTTCAGTATTGCTTCTATGGCAACAGGAAAGAGGCAGCTATGGACTGGGCTCTCAGCTCCAGAAAATGAAAAGTCACTTAATTTGCCCTTGGTTGTGCTTGATATTTGATCTGGCTCTAGTGAAGTGTTTTTAGCTCTAAAAAGTAATAGAACTCCTGAAAGCATTTGATTGCTCCAAATTGGAGACCACTTGGAGATCCGCACCTGTGGGTAGTAATAAGGACTGATGGTCAGAAGAGATTTCTTGGCCATTCCTGTGGTACTGCTTGTAGAGAAGTGGGTATTTCCAGGTGTGAGAGCACTGCTGCCTGAGGTGGCTGTGCTGAGCAGGAGGGGAAGCTCCTGCAGGTCGTGCCAGCAGCTCTCTAGCTGCCATACTGAGTTGAGAGTTGCTGTGGGTGACGTTCCCTTTGCCACCAGCACACAGGGTGCTTCTCCCCATTCCTGGTTCTGCAGGTATCTGATCTATTCCTAATGCACTGGGAAGTTGTCACTTGTTGCTGAAAGCAGCACTCAGCTAATCAGCAACGTGTCTGAAGCGATAAGACTGTTACCTTCGTTTCCATTGTCCAACCCTTTCTCAACTGTTGTTGAAACACAGCCTTTGTGCAGCTTAGTCTGAGGCTGGCTGCCTGGGTCAGGGCTGTGTTCTGACTTGGAGGACTTTGGCTTTGTCATTTCCAGCACAGAAGGCGCCAACAAGATCAGCCTGGTTAAAGCAAAACAGGTGTTGCACAGCCGTTACATGTAGCCAGCTTTTCTTATGTTCTGCTCTGCTCTTACCTGCAGCCAGGTGTCTTGGGTGCAGGCATGGAAGTGCTAACAGGTAGTTTGAAAATGGGCATTTGACAGCTTTGTATTCTTGCAGAGGTCTTCGGAGGACAGAGCAGGTTGGCGGATGAATCTTGAGATAAGAATCTTTTCCTACTGCTCCTGTTATATCGTGATATCTTTTTTCTTCGTTGAGGGACGTTAAGACTCTTTCAGGCTGTGAAACTGTTGGACTTTGTGTCATTGAGAAGCAAGGAACAGTGACATCAACTGCCCATCCTCTCTTCTAAAGAATGCTGGTCGTGTTTTTGCACTTCAAGTCCCAAGCATTCATTTGTGAGCTAATTTAGATGGCGACCTGCTGTGACCATGCACCTTGGATTGGAAGTAGCTAGAAAATCTGCTGGCTTTTAGTTAGTTGCATTTTCACTGCTGAGATTAGTAGGGAATATCAATGAAAGCACCTCTGCAAAGAGATTGCAGCTGAACTCTGTACGCTAGCCACAGCATGTCCTTAGGTTAGTCTTTGCACCAAGCCTGAACCCCTGTGTAAAAACCACTTGTTTATAGAGTGAAGGCATCATTGTGATCACTGCATTATTTGAAAATGGCTTTGAATTCATGCACAGAATTGCCTGAGTAGCTTTGTGGGGGCTGGGAACATTGTAATGAGTGCATTTATTGGCTTGGTCCTGGTACTGGCCTGGTGACAGGGAGGGGAGGCTTTGTGCATATTGCATGAAAACACCGAGAACCCGATGGCTTTGCTTCTGAGAGCTGAGCTGAGAATGACAGTGTCATTAATAGGAAGGGATCAGGAAGAAAGCTGATTCTGCACAAACTCTTCTGTTTAGAAACGCGGCTTAATGCTACTGGTAAATTCTCCAGCGCAGACAAAGCCCTGCTTTAGAAAGCAAAACAAAACACGGTGCCCATGAACAGAGATGGGAAAACAGAATTTATAATATCAATGGTAGGCTGTAATGAGCATGGTTTGTCATGTCTGTTGGCTAACCCTGACCTGTCTGCATTGCTATTCCTTATCCCAGCAAACTCTCCTTGCTGTGAGCTTTCTGCAAACACATCCCAGCTGCTGATTTCTGGCGCTTCAAGTGCAAAAGAAAAAAGGCGGTTATTGTTTTGTGCCTCAGTTCAATGACTGGTGAAGTGGTTCCTGTGTATAAATAGTGTAGAGTGCTAGGGCATCCTTCTGAATAAAGGAGGCCTTATTAGATACAAGATGATGTTGCTGGACACAGAAGGAGTTCCCATTAATCATGTGCTGGGTGCCACTCTGTGGGCTGCCTTCCAGCTCCTGCCATGGTCAGTGTGTTTGGAGGGGGTGATTTTTTCCCCAGGTTATTGAGTGCTGGGAGCAGTGGCTGGGGCTTTCCGAGCTGGGGATGTTTTGCAAGGACTGGAAAGCATTAGCAGGCATTCTTGTTTGTGTTGTAGCAGAACAATTCTGGAGCATGATCACAGTCTTGGGCGTGCTTAATTGTTCTTTCTCCCTCTCTCCTCTCCTCTCCTCTCCTCTCCTCTCCTCTCCTCTCCTCTCCTCTCCTCTCCTCTCCTCTCCTCTCCTCTCCTCTCCTCTCCTCTCCTCTCCTCTCCCTTTTATCTCTAATAGTCACACAGCAAGCCATCGTCTCTCCCAGATTTGACTAACCCTCTTGTAGAACACGTTAATACACAAGTATGTGTGTGGTGCTGAACATAAATATCCCTGCTAAGTTTGAAGTTGATCTCACTGCTATTTTTGTTTCGGCAACACCCTTCCTTCTGGAATACAGTTGTGGAAAAAAATCAGAGGGACAGCTAAGTGATCTGAGAGACAGCTCATATTGAAGAGCAGGTGTCTCCCCAGGTGCTTTAGGCACGTAGTTTTTCATTGGATATCAGACTTCTATCCATATTAACGAGAGTTAAGGGTCTATGTCTCTTGAGGGTCTTATGCAAAATTAACCTGCTAAAGCAGAAGAAAGGAGAGAATTTACAAGCGTGCAAAAAAGAAAGAGTGACAAACCTGTACCAGAACCTAGCTTTGTAACATCTGTGGAGATGGTGTCTGGACCCAGAGGGTTTGTTCTCCCAAACTCCCAGGATGGGATTTTGCTAATCTAAGGCCTTCAGAAAAGTGTTGTTGCAGCAGAGAGGTAGGGCCATGGAGGGTCTACCAAAGGTGACCAAGAGACCTCACTCTTCTTTGAAGGTCAGTGGCTTTCTAGGTTGTTTCCACCTCTGCCAGAGCCACTGTGCAGAGGCCTGTTAGGAAGGGGTGAGGATGTTGCTTTGTGCTCATTTCTCAGCAGTTCCAAGGGGCTGAGGGTGAGCACTCCTGCACTGGGCACTCTGCAGTGAAGGAAAATGATGCCCTGCTCTGAGGAGCGTATCATTGTTCAGACAGCGTGCAGAGAGTAAAGGCTGTTTCAGGGCTGTTCTCTAGGGAATCTCGTTTGATTTCCTCCTCGGGGAGGAGGGTCTTGGACTCAAATCTGTTTTGCTTGTCTCCCCTTTGCCAAGTATAAATGAAAATTCCTGAGAAGAAGCTGCTGTGCCTCATTGGATGCCTGGCTCCTGTTCTGCCTTCTCCACTGCCCCTGAGGCACAAGTACGTTGACTTTCCAGCATGTTCCAGCATGCTGTAATGGAAAACAAAACATTCAGCTTTGCATCCTGGGTCAGCTTTTTCTTTGGAAAGGAGTGTGGGAGCAGCAAGAAGCAGATGTAAAAATGGTACTGCAGCAAGGCTGCTTCAGGAGTGTCAGAGCTTGGTCTAGCCTCAGGACCAAGGATGTGTCAGAGCTATTGCTTGCTTTGCCAGTGTCTGCGCTCTGTTTTCCCTCCTCTCCCCAGTTCCTCAGAAAGTTCTCTTGTTCAGTTTTCATTTATGATTCTGGGATTTTGGCGTACAACTGTATGGCTCAAGTGTTGGGATTTCCACTGTTTCTCTCAAGAGATTTTCCTGTGGTCTAGAGGCTACAGAGTAATGTGATTTAACAAGTTTCTAGTTCTTGGCAGAGCATTTATGTTCATCCCTGTTCAAAGGGAATGGAAGCGGGGGTAAACCAAGCTGATTATAAGTGAATGTGTGCTGTCTGTACTGTGCCAGAAAAAGGCCTGTAGGAACCTCCCCTTGAAGATAATAGAAAGTTAAAATGGTTATGAATTGTGTTGAATTTGATCTGATAATAAGAAGTAACCTTTTTCTCTTCCCAGATGGTTTGCAAACACTTCATTATCCCACCTTGGCAAGAAAGGGAATTTTAGTGCTTCCATTTCCCAAAGGGACAGTAGATGGAAGACTTTAAGCCTTAAGCTGTGAAGTAAGTTAGCGTCAGGAACTCCTAAACCCTGGAAGATGAGGAAGGATGTGTGCAATGAGTTCTGGCACTGTATGCCCCCCACTTTCCTCTTTCCAGGCAGTTTAGAAGTGCCTTCTCATGCCTGGGTTTAAAGCAATGATCCAGTGATCATTTTGAAGCACTTAACATGGTGTATAGCACCCCACTGTACAGATGGGTCTTCAAGAGCTTGCTCATGGAGCTGTTCCTGGACTGTTCAGACCAGAATGTCACTGTGGTTTGTTCACAGGCTTGACAGAAGCAGTAGCAGCATTTACAAGATGCTACAGACATAAATGTAAGTGCATTCTGGCAGGTTCGTGCCATCAGGAGGTCTTTGCAGTGCAGTCTGACTCTTCTCCATTAACCAGTGCACGCTTTCTGATTTAATCAAATGCATTCATAATGTCTTCTGAAACCAGGCACTCTCTACTAAGAAGATGGCTTAATGATAAAGCGTATTACTGCATACTGATCTTTGACATAATTCATGATTCTCTCTTCCTTTCTTTTTCAGCTTTCTGTTTTGCCAAATCCAGCAGAGGACCAGAGCCAGCAAGAAGACTGGGTGGAAGAGAAGCTTTTGAAGAGGGCTGAAGATCTGTGGTGGTTCTGTGGAGTGCTTTGGTAGGGGAAGGTCAGTGTTGAATCTGTTGACCCATGTTGGCTGGCAGTTTGGATAGATAATGAAACTTAGTAGTGTTGTAAATCAGAGCAATTTGCTAAAAGCTTTAGAGCTTCTCTGCTGGGAAGGTTTCATCTAACAGCTTCTTGCTGCTTTCTGAGCTGTGCAAGATGTGCTGGTGAGTTGATAAGCAGCCAGAGGCCATTTCTTCAAATAATCCACTGAGGTACGTGAAGCAGTGGTGGTAATATTATTGTTTTTATAGAGGGGGAACTTGAACACGGAGGTCATGTTATCAACAGTTGGAGCTTTGTCTTGCTGGAGAATGAAGTTCTTTAGTCAGTTCACTGATGCTAAAAAGTTTCTGTCCCACAGCTGCATTGCACGTACCAGGAAAGCATGTTTGTTCAGTTCCCAGGAGCTGCCTCGAGGTTGGAGTTATCTGGTCCAGCTTTCCTGGCAGCTGTACCTTGCCCCTCACTCCAGCAGCATGCCTGCAGGGTGTTTGAGGTGGCTGTATTAGCAGGAGGCCAATAATATTGGACTTAGAGCCCTTTTAGTTACGGGAATGAGTGTGGTATAAGGTGTGAGATGTTCTGTTTTGCCCCAGTTCATAAAAAATATCTGTAAAAGTGACAGCACTGACATTTAGGATACCAATTTTCTTGCTATCATTCATTATTTTTAAGTATTTTTTAAGAACGCTTTAGATGGCCTGGGAGCTATTTCATTTGCTTTGGCATTGTTTCTTTACCATCCATCAGGTGCTGCTTTAGGGCAGGTTCTGCAGAAAAAGCCTGCAGACCTGGATTTCTTTGCTGTTTAATTAAGTACTGTTACTGTGCAAGTTGAGGCAAATGGACTTGGAGGAGTGTGCTATGACTAAATGAATGTCTAGCCAGCATGAGTGTGTGTGTGTGTGTGTGTGTGTGCCTGCCACGTGCTTTCTGAGCTGTGGTGTAGGTGCGTGCCTGTGTATGCCTTTGGCTCTGCCAGTAAAAATACAGTGGTCTGTGTGATGTGATATACCACTGAGATTTCAGGTGCCTCAGTGTCAGTGCAACAAAATGCTGCTTGTGCAGTGCTACTGCTGCTGCCCTGTGCTCAGCATGCAGAACTGGGGCCAAAGTACTCAACTACTGGTGCATTCCTCCTGTCCAGTTTGTCCTAAGGGTTCAGGCTCAGTAAGGATGAGAGCCCGAAACTGGTTGCCTGGAGCTTGTCGTGCTCACAGCTGGCATTCTTTGGCCTGCAAGGCTTTTCACATCCTTACAGCATTGCTAGATTTAGGGTATTTTGAGCCTCCTGCACTGGGAAGGAAGAGCAGCAGCAAGTGATGGGCTAAGGTCCTTGCCCAAGGTCGTGCAGGAAGCCAAATCAGGTGACAGTTGGATTCAAGCTGTTCAGTGTCTAATTTATTGAATTAATCTTCAGACTGTTTCTTCTTCCATGTGCAGCTTCTGTCACACTGAGATTTTTTCCTTGTTTTCTTGTTTCCACCCATCTTTGTGTATTTTATTCCAGAGCGTTATTTGTGAGCGTGGTAGGAACCTGCTCTTGATTTCTGGTAAATAAAGGTAAAAGTATCTCTTTTCATTGCATAACTAAGTTTCATTGCCTACATTCTGTGATTACTTTTTAAATTTAGTTTACTGATGAAGCCACTGTCTATTGGGTTGGACCAAATGAACTTCGTTATGAAAATGTTTTTAGTCTTTCAGCCACTTTTTCAATTAGCAAAACATTTCCTGTTATTGAGCTCATGTCTTATTAATATGGTTTTATGCATCTGTAAATACACCCTTGTGTCATGGCTTGCCATTTTCTGTTCACTGAAGAGCTCGTTTATAATTATCTCTGTGATTCAGAACAGACCTTTGCTTCTATGTTTGGAAATAAAACTCAGCCGTGCATTTAAAGTAACGTTGCTTGTTCTTGTCCAGTTTCAAGAGTGTTTCACATTGCTTCTGTGGGTCTGTTATCAGCACTGAAGCCAAGAGACCCTGCCCACATCACAGAACTCTGCACAAGACTCTGAGTTCCCCATCGTTCGCTACAGTGCTGTGGTACAGATCAGCACCTCTGTGCTTTTTGGGGCCACATGGCTCAGAGCCCAGTGCCATCCTTAGCCTGAGCATCAGAGCATGGCTTGCCCTAGCTGTAAGGAGAGCATGGTGTGTGAACAGCTCACTGTGGAGTCAGTGATGGTGCTCCTGCTTAGAAAGGATAGATCATACAGGAGACAGCCCTGATTGCTCTCTGATTCATGGCCTGCCATCCCTGCGTGAATCACTGTGCTCTGTAAGCCTGCAGCTGTTCCCTGCCAGCTTACTGGAAGCAGATAGATCCCTCCTCCCAGCAGCGAAGCTGAGCTCTGTGAAAGGCTCTGCTTGCTGTGCTCAGTGGAGCAGGACCTGCTTGTGGAGCCAAATTTCAGGTTCCCTGTCATCTGCCTGCAAGTGCAGTTTGAGCTGTGAGCAGCTGACCTTGTGTTTCTGAAGATCAGAAGGAGGTACAGGTTGGTGACACGTGGAAATAACCATACTGGCTGTTTTTTTGGAGGAAGAGTTTCTAGAGTCCTTTGGAGCTGAGGGCCCGGCCCAAGGACAGTGAACATTGTTAGCATTCACAGCATCCTCTCTGCAAACTTGTGGTGCAGTTTGCTCTTCATGTGTTCCTGATAGAAGCAGGCCTACTTCAGAGCCCAGCACATTAGAGCCTATTTCTGGGGAGCATCTGCCTTGATCTGAGATACCTGTTTTGAGCTGTTCAGGTGTGCATAGCAGTGGGATCTTGCCTGGTTGCTGCCATTCCTGTTCTGTGGCTAAATGAAGCCTCTAGGAGCTGTAAATCTGTCACCTTCCCTGAGTGCTGCATTCGCCAGGTAGCTTCTCATTGAGAATTACAAGTCTGTTCAGAGCAGAAGGTGCCACCAGCATCTATTCCTCCCCCTGCCCCAGGCTGCAGTATCGCAGTGTGGTAATTAATCTGAGCATTGCCAGAGTTTCTGATCTTTCCTAAGGATCATGAGTCAAGTCTCCTTGATATATATATGCCACCAGCTCGGAACTGCTCTCTTCTCTAATGAAATACTATTCTGCTGCCAGCTGTTTTGTCAGATGTTATTCTAAAGGAAAATGTTTTCTTGCGAAAGAAGAGAGGGAACAGGCATGGTGGGACTGCTGGGCATGTTCTCACCCCTATGCTCCCTGCTAAGCTTTATTAGTTCCTAAAGTGCAGACCCGCCTGAGGTTTTTGAGTGGATCCTAGTGAAGCAAAAGGAAACAATTTCCTGCAAATAAAATATAGTTATGCTGCAGAATTGGCAGCTGCTCCAAGCCTTGGTTCAGGAGTAAACTAAAAGCAGATGTTAGAAATGTAACAAGGAAGAATACACTGACCAACCCAGACTCCGAGCCAGCTGAGGTACAGCCTGGCTGTGAGTACCCCTTGCTTGCAGGTAAGAGATCTTACCAGAGGATTTATCTACTGGAAGGTGTCTTGCAGTGGGCTTGCCAAGGTAGATGTTGTCTGTACTGCATAGTTGGATTGCAGGTCCTGTTTATCCCTGGAGGACCATACGAGAGGTGAACCCCTGGAAAGGGAGAGGTAGATGCTGTTTGCCTGCTTCTATGAAACTCTACAAGATTTTCAAACAGAGAGAAAGCAGTGTTTGCATCATTCCATATTGGCTGGTGTGGAGGGAAGAGGAGGACTTTTTTGATTGAATGCAGCTCTTTGAAGGGGAGAGATGGTGAGGATTCAGTTATACCTCTTCAAACTGCCTCACAGAACTTCTGCTGACAGTGATGCCCTCCCTGGGCAGTGCCTTTGTCCTGTCTGCCCAGTCAGGCAAGAGTGAAATTTAATTGTTATTTTTTCCAACAGGAGGCAGTGAGGAGACATGGAGCTGCACTTTCTGCTTTGGAATACTTTGGAACATAGCACATCTTTAACACTTTGCATGGGGTCTGACCCACAGCAAACTCTGGCTGTTTATGCATCTGCAGTGTTTCATGCTGTCAGACCATTCAAAGCCAGCGTTTATGTTGCTTCCTCCTTAATAGCTGTGAGGCAGCTGAATGATGAGAAGGGCTGTGAGAAATAAACAGAGTGAGGAAGAGAATTAATTATCCCAACATATTGCTGGGATTCAAAAAGAGGCCGTTTGGGTGGATGACAAGTATGCTCCTAGTTACATTTGTAAAGATTAAAAATACATAGAACTTAGAGATCTATTTAAAGCAGATTAAACAAGCATTGGTGAGCAAAGAAAACTCTCTGGAGACATATTATTCTGTAAGTGCCAAAGACAGTTTCTGTCATCCCCTTCAGAAGTAACAGCTAGGTGCTGCAGTCAGCCAGATCGTGGGATGTGCTGGGTAACAGGTCTGAGGCTTCGTTTATTTCACTTTAAGTAGGAGGAAGTGAACATGGAACTATACTGAAGTTTCCTTCCTTACAGTAATGTTGATTACAGTAAGACCCAGCCACTGTTTTGGCTTGGTCACAGTAAGTGCTGTGCTCATGCAGCTGTAGGTCTGATCCCTCTACTACAAGTATTAATCTTAAGGAAAATGAGCCTCCAGAAGTGACAGCAGAATGAGGAGACAGAAGGAGGATGATGGCAGTGCAGGAAGGCCACATGCTGGTACCATCTGCCCCTCTTTCACACCCTGTGAGGTCTTGTGCTGTGTAGGTCACTCAGATGGCTAAGAGAGCTCTTAATATAAGTAAGCACTGTCTGGCATCCCTGAAGCCACTTGAACGGCTTGCTCACTGCATTACCTCAGCAATACCTCAGCAAAAGGCTGGAAGTGTGAGTTCTTTAGTTCTTTGCAGGAGGTGAGTAGCAGTGCTGCCCTTAGGGAAAAGAGACACAGTGACTGGCTTTTCAAACTTTGCTTTTTTTTTTTTTTTCTTCCTTTCTCCAGGAATTTGCTGAGCCGGAAAGATGCGTGAATATACTGAGAAGAAAGAAACATGCGGGACTATCTGTCTCAAATACCTGCTTTTCATCTTCAACTTTTTTTTCTGGGTAAGAAGTTTCAGCCTGCTTCAGAGTTTCCTAGATGGCACTGTAGATTTGGTGGCAAAGGCACAAAAGCCTTCACCTTAGTGAAGTCTTCAGCAAAAAGCTCTGACATCTGTGGAACCCAGATTTTGTTCCATGGGATGAAATCCCATCCGTTGGACTTGCCAGCCCAAGCTGCAGAAGTTGTAGTTTGACATTAATAGGTCTTATTTCAAAGTATGGAAAATAACTGGATGCCTGAAAACATGCTTTGCTTTCACTTCACCTAGCTAGCATATTCAGGGAGCCTGAGTCCTGGCAGTGGAGGGGGACAACTATAGCAAGGATAACAGATCACTCCTTGCAGCTTGGTCCACGGTAGCGCCAAGTAGTGCTTTCCACTGAAAACTTACAGATCCCAAAGGCTCTGTGTCCTGCACAGCTTGCACTTCCCCCTGCGTGGTATGCACAGCTTGCCTCCTTAAAGCCCTACCAGAGTACTGCTCTCCATCCCAATGAGGTCTCTGGGAGTCCTTCCTTTGGTGTGGATTTCTTTAGTTCAGGTTGCAGTGCTGCGGCACCCTCTGATATCTCAGTTCAGTTGCTCTGGAGGTGAGAAGTTCACGTGTTGGATATCCCTCATTTGCTTGCCTCTGTTTTTACCCAGCTGGCTGGCGGGGCTGTGATGGCAGTGGGCGCCTGGACCCTGGCTAAGAAGAGTGACTACATCAGCCTGCTCTCTTCTAGCACGTATTCAGCAACTGCTTATATTCTGGTGGTGGCAGGGGTGGTTGTGATGGTTACTGGCATCCTTGGCTGCTGTGCCACCTTCAAGGAGCGTCGGAATTTGCTAAGAGTGGTAAGTTTTGCTCTTTTTGAGGGGGATGCTCCTTTTTTATCCCTTGAAGAATGCTGACAGGGTGGGAAACGTCTATTGTACACCAACTCTATTAATTTGTCCTAGGGCAAATACCATCAAGTTTTCCAGCTTTTAACAACACTCCTATCTTTGTCACAAGTGACAGGGTCTACTGCATTTCATTTCATCAATCCAAATTTACTACTGCATACCTCAAAAGGACAAAATATAGTTGTAATATATCTGCACTGTGTGAGAGAATATCTGTTTGAAATTGTTCAAAACCAAATCTTGTGGCTTTTTTTCTTCCTTCTTTACTGCCTGTCCATCTTCTTTTTCTGGAAAATGGAAAGAGAAAATAAAATATGTGAGACATGTAAGAAAACTGGCTTTTAACAACACTAAGTTTGTATCAAATTAACATGCTTTTTCACAGAATTATCAAAGATAAGAAAATATTAAATGGAAATTTTCTATAGTGGCTAAAAAAAAAATAGTTCTGAAATTAAAGCTATAGAATTTTGATAACCTGCTTTTTTTTACACCCTTCCTTATGTTACTTGCTCTGCTCCCTGCTTACCCACTACACCAGAGTGTGTACTGGCCCTGGGGTTTCTATTCTGCTTCCTCCCTTGCAGATCTCCTTTTCGGTTTGGAGTGTGGCAACATTCTTCAGTAGTGAGCTGCAGTAGTGAAGTGCAGTGACTGAAGTAACAATCAGTGGCTCTTTGCCTTCACAGTAACAAGAAACAATGCTGCAGTAGCCCTTCAGTAGCTCCCTCAACTTTGCAAGTCCTTATTCACGCAACCATCGCTTTTCCCTTCTACAGAGGAGCAGAAAGAGAAGCCATGAGCAATGCTGACGCTTGTACCACTGCTCTGAAGACCTAGTAATTCCTGTGAGAGGCAGAGTAGGGCTAGGAATGGAGAACTGGAGGAGAGCACAGGGTTTGCTAATGCTTGTTGCTCCCAGTCTGTAACAGTCCATTTTGGCCTCTCTTCACTTACTTTCCGTGCCAAAGAGATCTCCCTTTGTCTTTTTGCCTCAGCCAGAAGCTACAGATGAAAATCCGGTGGGGTTTTCTTTGTTATTCTGCCACAGAAAACTAATAATTGTGTCTCGGGAACAAAAGGTCACGCTGTCCTTACACCATGCATCCTTTCAGAATGGCTGGTCGCGACAGACCTATTGTCTCTTCTTGCTTGTGCTCTGCTTTAGTTGCCAGTGAGTAATGTACACAAGAACCATGGCTGTGCTTGCCAGGGCCCAGTGAGCCTGCCTAGGGGCCTCTGCCAGCTCTGAGCTCAGACAGTGACTCTGACAGCTTCACACTCAGTGCCCCAGGGGCTGTGCCAGCCTGTTCCAGTTTCCCTTGGTACCAGAGGCCTGTGGCAATATGAGAGGGAATGTTGTTAGCGGTGCTCCTCTCCCTGGTGCCTCCTTGGTGCTTTTAAAAATCAGCGGGCGACTTTGGCTGCTGTTTGTAAAGCATGGTTCTGGTGGTTAGTTTGTTATTCTGTTGAAGTCTCAGGAACCTGTGATTTTGTTTGCTGCTTTTCTACTTAATTACGAGTTCTGAGAGCCCTCGCAGCCATGCTACTTCTTTGTCATTGCCCATTTACTTTCCTTGTGAACCTCCTTAGCCAGGTGATTCGTTGAGGCTCGGGCAGGAGACATGGCATTTCATCTGCTCTGTGACTCTGCAGTATGTCTGCAGCCTGGTTAGTGTAATGCTGCAGAGCAGCCCTGCTGGTGGAGCTCAACCATCAGAGGCAGCAGTGCTCTTAAGACCTGCTCAAACTTCAGCTCAGAGGCTGAAGCTGCTGCTATGTTCACCAGGGAACCATTTCAGCAGTATTAGGCAAAACCAATGATAAATGGATTAGGCTTGCTCTCTCTTTCCTGTGTGCTGTGCTATGTCCCTGCCAGAGCAGTCAGTGTGTGATACAAAGCTGCCACTGGGGTGTTCTCTCTGCGTCAGGAAGAATCTCGTTAGGATTTATAAACTAGAACAGAACTTCTCCTGTCTCACTTTCAGCTGAATTGCTGAGGTAATTGCTGAGTGTAGCAGAGCACTGGGGAGCAAAAGCTTGCATGGCCATCCTTACCCAGCTCCTATATTATTCTTCAGTCGAGGTGCACTCTTTCATATACAGAAGTGTGCAAAAGGAGTCTCGGACTTACCCAAGTTTTTATCAAAGGGCTTTGCTTTTTTAGATGGTGGAAAGATCTCTCCAGATAGTGAATTTTTGTTGTAGGTGGATTGACTCGTACTTTTGGATTGTTCATAGAAAATATGCTCAGATTTAATGCTCTGCTCAGATACTTGAAGCTGAATGAAAGGAATCTGGACCCTCTGTGTCTGAAGGACACACCATGCAATCCTGAGTCTTGCTTGAGCCACAGTAGGAATAAATTTTGCTCAGAGCCCATCTAGATTCCACACGTCTCCTGCAGGCCTCTGGGGGATTCCACATTTCTTACTGGTTTCTCAGCTTCTTGGAAAGTGAGTAGAGCATGTCCCTGCTGCTCCATGCCAGAGCTGGCGTGCTTCTCACTTTCTTTCAAAGATCTGTTCTAAAAGACCAGCAGCTCCTAGTGAAGAGCAAGGAAAGCAGTCCTGTGCTCTGTTTGTCTCCAGAGCAAAAGCTGCCACTCCCCTATGACAGCATGATGTGGTGTAATAGATACTCAAAAAGGGGCCCTGAGGGGGAGATGAAGCCAAGATAAGGATAATAATGCAGACTATCAGCAGAGGCAGGTTGGGTACTTGGGTGGCAGATGCACTGACCTCACTTACAAGGGTTAACAGGGACCTCATGACTCACATTCTCTAAGCTGGATATGTGTTTGTTCGTATCCATGGTAAGCCAGCTTGAACTGAGTTCTGGTGACACAACTCAGCTCCACCTGAATGCCACTGACATGACGACACTGAGCAGAGAAGAATAAATAAAAGAAGATTTGCAGTTCCTTGGTTGTTCCCAGCATCCTGCCACCCTCCTTCCCCTTCTTCAGCATAGAGATGATGTCAGGGCAGTAGGGCATAACTAGGTCCCAACAAAAGAAAGCCAGCCTTTGTATCAGAGTACTCCAATCCTTTCTTGCCCCATTTCAACCTTCTGTGAGGGCTGGGACCAGCGTTCAGCTATTCCCTTCTCTGCTGAGTGACTCACTGCCGTGGTATGAATGGGTACCTTGTACAACAGTATGCAGAGACTTCTGGTGTGGGGCTGGGGAGAGAAAGCCTCAGATTGTGTGCTCAGATTAAAGCCAGGCCTGCAGATAAAACCCTGCTGGCCATCCTTGGCAGCTGCTGTATCCCAGCAGGAGTGAAAAAGGAAACCTGATCTGCATTTGTGTCTGGACTGTTTAATTCCTGTGAAGTAGCTCAGAAATACCTGTGTCTACCAGCCAAGCAGGGGTTGTGCAGTGCAGTGAGTAATCTTTGTGTAACAGAAAGCAATCTTGCTTGTGTCCAGGGCTTCACTGTCCTATGTGCTGGAGGGAGAGATGGTTTCATGGCTAGCTACGTTTTTAGGGAGCTGTTTACTTAATGTCTTGGGAATGGCCATGTTCTGAGCTTGAGTAAAACAGAAAGTGGGAGATGATGTATTCTGTCACAAACAGGACAAGTCTTACAGGAACTTTGCACAAGGTCATTGTTATAGCTGAAGCTAGTGCCACTTTGGCTTCATCTACAAAAAGATGAAGTTAATAGCAGTTGTAGAACAGCCTGGATCTGTAAAGGAACTGCCTTTTTCTTTTCTTCTAAAATCTGTCACTTCAGTAGTGCACTGCAGATGGTGGTCGAGTCCCACAGAATTCCCTAGGAATATAAATCCATGTCTTAAACTTATGTTTAATTGGTCTTCTATGTCCTTGGTCAAATGGGCCTTTGTTGGCTTATTGAATCATTGTTGTAACATACATTTCTCCTTAATAACTTTGTGAAATGCCCTAAACAATGTGAAAGCAAGCAAACGTTTCAAAATTATTTTGTAATTATGTCAGAAGCAGATATTTTCTATGATACTGAACATATTCATCAGGTTATCTGGCAACCACTCTCTTCTGTCTAGTGATCTTATCTTAGCTGCCTGCACTTTTCCATTCTGTATATCCCTCTGGCTGTTTTGGATACTCACACTTGCTTCTGCTTGTCTTCAGTTATCAAGCATGTTTGTTGTTTTGTTTTGTTTTTGTTTTTTGACCAGTGGGATTGTTCCCTTTCTATCCTATTGAGGTCCTAACCTCAGCAGTTGCCTTTGAGATCTCCTGCAGAAAACCATCAGCAAAGACAGTGGCATGCATTTTCCTAGCTAGTGATAAACCAGCTCCAAGCTTCTGTTCTAACATCCTATTTTTCCCATTATTTTACAGTATTTCATATTGTTGCTGTGCATCTTTCTCCTGGAGATCATTGCTGGAATCCTGGCCTATATCTACTACCAGCAGGTGAGTGAACAGCAGTCCTACAGATTCAAACCAGGGAGAGAAAACAGCTGATCATCATCCCGTTTCTCTGGTCAGAATTGGATTTGAAGGCTTGGGACCGAGTGATTGGGATTCATCTTTCTACATGTCTGTGCTCACTTTCTACCCCATACAAAAGACCTTAGGTTATTCACTACTTTTGGCAAAGCATTAATGGTTACACTTGGGAGGCTGTTCAGCCTTTCTGCTCAGCTCCTTCTTGTGGCTTACTTTGCAGGCTGCAGAGCCTTCTAGAAGACAACTGTTAAGGCTGTGTAGTACTCCTTAATACCCCTTAAGTCACGCTGCAAGCAACTGAAATGACATTAGTGCTACCTAATATATTCAGGACATAGGAGTGATCCTGTTGCATCTAGCAAGGTAGCTGCCACACTCCTGAACTTGCAAAGATGGTCCAGCCTGATAGGTCCTTTCAGGTCCATGACGTTTTTGAGGTCTTTACTTAACCATCATAGCTGAGGGTAACAGCATGGACTTCCAGCAGCTGCAGTTCTAAGTTGGCACTTCTTGCAGTTGCAGAGGACAGAGGCTTAAATCATCGCTTTGTTTTCAAAGGATATTTAGCCACCAGAACACAAACAGCCTGGGAAATTGCTCTCAAGTCTGGAAATTGATTGGAAAGAGTGAATTAGAATTGTTGTCAAGTGCCCGTCTGAAGAGCAGCTGGATATCCTGTCCCATCTTGTTGGCTTCACTGTTAGGATTCCTTGCCACTCCTTTCTATTTTGAGACTCCTGTGCTTTGCATTTCCAGAATGGGCACTGGCCGTTTGTCAGGAGTCAGAGTGTTGTGAGTTCATTTGCTTGATTGGAACCAAGAGGGGGTCAGTGGAATGAGTGTATATATTAAACTGGGAAAGATCCATCCCAGGAGCATGGCAGAAAGCTAGGATCCATCTGTGCAAAGTCACTAGGTTCATGTATGACAAGGGATGAAAAGGAGCTGATCCTTAGGTAGAGTAAGGGATGACACGTTTGCAGCTGTACCCTTCAGTGATTTAAATCACTCAAGGGCACTCTGATGGGTAGCTGCACTTTCCCCTTGCTCTGTGGCTGACAAATAACCCCTTGTTTGCTGGTTGCAGGCTGCTTGCTGTGTTTGCCACTGTTTTTATTTCAGCCCTTGCTTTTGGTATCTAAGCCTTGTGTGTCTAAACTCCCTTTCTGTTGTTGTCTTTGTTCCATGCTGCAGTTCTTCCCTGTGAGCCTGCAGGTAACTGCTTTTCTCCCAAGTACTAATTCTGCTAATGGATTCTCCTCTTTATTTGCCTCTGATGCCTTCCAGCTGCTGAACCTTTTGCTTTCTCTTTATTACATTAAGTCCTTTGCACTTTGGTAAAGCTTCCCAGCTCAGGATCTCAAAGCATTTTTCAAATATTTATGAGTGAAGCCTCTTACCAACTCTGTGAGGTAGGTATTGTCCCCACTTAACACAAGGGGTTGGGAATAACAATATATCAAAAGGAAAATAAACTGCAGATTGTATTTTGCCCAGTGCAGCATCTGACCTCTCATTTACTGCTGTACAGAATAAAAGGTGTATAGAGAAGCTGTCTCTACAGCTATCTCTACTGATGTGTAAGAGGAATTTAGCTAGACTAAGAGCTTCCATGGGAAGAAATATTTGAATCCAGTCATCTGAACCTATCAGTAGTTTACAATAGGAGCATTTTCAGAAATGATGAACTTACAGAATCAGACTTTATCTCTGTGGTTTTATAAATTTGTCACTGTTACCAAGAAATGCCATAATCTTGCAATCATACTCTTCACCCCCTCCTCTGGCATCCTTTTTGCTGTCATTTCAAGAGCTATTCAGACCATGTGACCTCAGTTCAGTGTGCTCAGGACTCTGATTTCCTCCTGCTCCTGAACAGACTGATTGTGTTTTAGTATTTTGCCATAGGTTTCAGGGACAGAAGACAGCATGTGGTCTCATGGCATGTTCATATTCAAGCAGACACAATTTTGTATTGTGTCTAGGCAACCTCTTACATATGTGAGATGAGGACCCTTATGGTGATGTGTTGCACAGACTGAAATTTGGCCAAGAATCGCCTCATTGTGGTTACAAAAGTGGAGACATGGTCTTTAATCAGCTGGAAGTAAGCTTGCCTGCTTCCTGCAAGCCAGTCCAGCCTTGGAAGATGACTTGAAGGAAGCTGTAGCTTCCATTTTCTGGCTTTCTTTTCTCTTGGAACAATAGCAGTGAAACTTATGCAGGACTCTGGGTCGCCCTGAGGGGAGGTGAGTTTGCCTTGTGATTTTATCCCGCTTGTCTTTTCTATTCAGCTGAGCACGGAGCTGAAGGAAAATCTGAAGAACACCATGACTCAGAAGTACCGCAAAGAGGGAGAAGAGAGAGTGACCAGTGCAGTGGACAAACTGCAACAGGAGGTGGGTGTTGCTGGTAAAGCGATGGCACAGTACGGGAAGTGATGTGAGCTCTCGTCATCTGACATACAGGTTGCTTCTTTGGAGTCAAAGCAGGCTGGGTGGTGTGCAGGGTCTTGGCCGTGCTACCAGCGGAATGGCATGGGGTAATCTCTGAATTGGATCCCCAGTAGGATTGAGTAAACAACATCTAAATTGATCCTGGAGTGAACTGGAGTGCCGAGTCACTCTGACAGCTGTTTCTACTTACCACATGAAAGCTTTGGAGAAATTGCTGACATTTTTCATTAAGCTTCTCAGTACCCTAGAGAGCAAGATGTAATGAAAGATCCTGCTGCTACTGCGAGCTGTGTCAGGCTCTGGGGTGGTTCAGGTATGGGCTGTCGCAGTTCTGACAGGCTTTTCCACAGGATGGACCTTTGTGCACAGGCATGGGTCCAGCAGTTTCAAAGCTGCAGCCTGCTATGCACGTAATGCCCTGTTGCCAGGTGCATATGCAATAGTAACTGGTAATTATACCTACCCTGTTAGTGCTCTCTGGTCAGGTGATTAAGAGCTGAGGCAGCTGCAGGTGCAGTCTAGCTACAGTCCATCTCAGCAGTAACAAAAGTCACAACTGGTGGAAGATGGATGAAGCTGATAATTAATCACCAGAATTAAAACAGCTCACTAATAATTACAGCAGTCAAAAAATATAGGCTAGTGAGATTGCTGGAGTCTCTCCACAAAGGAGGGTGAAGCCCAGAGCTTGATATGGGGAGGCTGGAGTGAGAAGGAAGCTGCAGAGTTTGCAGGCTCAGCTTTGTGCTCTGTGTTTGCAGTTCAAGTGCTGTGGGAGCAACAACTACACAGACTGGGCTGACAGCATGTGGATCAAATCTCCAGAGGCCAGTGGAAGGAAAGTTCCTGACAGCTGCTGTAAGACAATAACTGACCTGTGTGGCCGAAGGGATCATCCTTCCAACATCTACAAGGAGGTAAAGAACAAAAGGGCTTCAGAGCCTCTTGCCACAAAGTTTACCAAGGAGGTGGGCAGGAAGTGAGGATTTTGGGTTGGTGCTGCAAACTGTTGGCACTTTGTGTCTCTGACTGTTGAGCCTTCCAGGCTACATTTAAAAAGATTCAGGGAAGAAGGGGAAAAAAAAATAGAGGAGTCAGAGTGTCTGAGCTCCTGCATGTAGGCTGCTATTACAGAAGCATGTATTCGTGGCTGCCAGAGTGATACTATAGCCAACACCCAGTGGGTACGGTATGGGATTAATTTCTGCACAGGAGGGGCCATGGATTAGGCAAGGGTAGCACTTCTTATCTGTCTCAAGGCTGTTCTTGGCATTTGCAGGGAACCTGATATGTAGAAAAGGACTGTAAAGGCAGTAAAGAAGAGAGTTCAGGAACTGAGGAATAAAGCAAGGATATGTTCTGCACCATTTTATTTGCTATAGAGAAAAATAGTAAGTTATATTTGTTAATGCAGAATATGCTGGTGATGAGGGAGTAGGAGATGTTGCTTCTGGCAGGAGACTTGGGTTTGAGCCTTGCATTCCAAGCTTCCTGTTACTGCACTTAGTGAGGAACAAATGGAGATACAGTCAAGCATCAGAACTGACAGACTTGACCTGCAGATGAGGAAACAGGATATGGGTCTCCCTAGCAGACAAATTAGGCCAGTTTCAGAGAACTGCAGTTAGGGGTGAAATGAGTTTGGACTGAGCTGGTAGAAAGGCTTGTTTGAAGCAAATTGAATCCCAAAGTAGCTGAGTAAATAGGCAGGTAGGACCATTTATTCATCCTGTTGAATAAAACCGGTAGAATTTCTTGTGCTTTTGTTTTCATACCCTTCAATCCTATGACTTGGCTTTAACTTGCTCACCATGAATCTGTCTGTGAGTTAGCATAGACTGTTTTCTCACCAGTGCAACTTGTGCCTTGGCTGGCTGTACTGAGGCATGGGAGCAGCAGCTGGAGCCTTTTCCTTGTCTCTGCCCCCTGCCAGGTGCAGAGATGAAGTCCAGGCTTTCTGCTCTACTAAAGCTGCACTTTATTATGTCCAGCTGCTTGGCTGGGTTTTGCTCTCCTGAAAGAAGACTTTCCCATAAATCTGTTATTTTCCAAGGGCTGTTGAGGTGTCTTTGAGTGTGGAAACCTGCAAGAGTGTGAGGGCAGAGCTGGCTCAGCTTCACTCTGTGCTGTGTGAAGCTGTGTTACCTAGGAAGGTCCTGCTGGGCTGCCAAGCACAAGCACAAGCACAGCGTTAGCTCTAAAGTATAAAAAGATGCCAAAGGCCATGTGGCTCAACACTTAACAATGTTTCTCATGATACAGCATCTAAGTCAGGATTCAGAACAGATTTTTACTGGCTTTGGGGAAGAACTTAGAAGAGGGTCAGATCAGGACATGGGAGCAATTGTTTCACACTGAAGCAGCTGGAGCTTACTCTGAAACCTAATTCAGGCGTGGGAAAAGTGAGGCCTTTGCCATCCCTCCCTAGAGAAGTGCATGCTCACTCGTTCCCTCTGCCTGGGTACATGTAGGTGTCTGTGTTCACTGTAGACTCCTGGGGCTGTAGGGCCCCAGTACCCTTGGGGCACTGTTGCAACCTACACAGCAAATCCCCCTGATGTTACCATGGAAAACCTGCCTCACTAGTTGAAACAGTTTAATTATTTAAAGAGAAGTCTTCCAAAATAAGCAGAGAATTCTCTTACTGTTTTATTTTTGCATTATGGCAACAAAAACACGGGCCTGAAACCAGGATGTTATGCTGCCAGCCAAGGATGCAAGTGAAAGGCAGAGGTAGTCACTGCCTGGCTTTCCAAGTCCACATTAAAACCCATAAATATCAGTGGGAGGAATTTGCTTTCAAAGGGCTCCTCTCATGTTAGAGGTCTTGATGCTGCATTTCCTTGGCATTTTGTCCAGAGAGGAGCAAACACCTTCTCCAGGCATGTGCTAAGCAGTGTGGGAGCCCTCCTCCACATACCTCAGAGGAAAATCTGAGAGAAATCCTCTATAATGTGCTGTGTTCTTCTGTACTTCTTCAGCCACCTTCAGCAATTCCTGAGACATACAGAAACAGTATGGACTTTGCATAATCTGTATTGCTTTTCCAGCAGTGTTGCAAGGAGAGGATGCTCACGGACGCTGCTTTTTGTAGGGATGCTTTCAGGGATTGCAACTGCTGTCTTAAAGTGAGACACAAGAATTTAAAATGAAGATGACTTTCCCTGTCTCCTCTCTCTTTCCCTGCAGAATGGTTGCATTACCAAGCTGGAAAACTTCATTCAAGAACATCTGAAAATTATTGGCATAGTTGGGATCAGCATTGCTTGTGTGCAGGTATTGTGTGGAATTGTGTGGAATCTTGGGCTTGCTGGGCAGAAGCTCAAGAAACCCAAGAACTAAGGGATGGAAAAATTAGTATTTCAGGCTTTTCCTTGCCTGGCAAAGAGAAGTTATCAGGTAAGGGAAGGTACTTCAGTGACCTTGGGATCCACTAACTCCAGAGCTAGTGCCTCTTTTATCAGTTTGTAAGATTTCATTTCTGATGAAAGAAAAACACTTTTCTGCTCAGACAGGGTTCTGCAGCAGGGATGTGAGAAATGAGGTGCGGCTGTGGCTGCTGGTTTGGCAGCCTGAGAGAGACCTCTGGTGGGGATGTGCCAGGATTGCCCGTGCTGCCAAAGGGCTGGTTTGGAGGAGTTTCCCATCCTGGTTCATTAGTTCATTCCTTTTGTAATCAGAGTTTCTGCCCTGGCTCTGTCATACTGAGGAACAGCACTGTGGGTCAGCAAATGTTTCAGGAGAGTCTGAAAAGTAAAGGGATAGGATGTGGATGCTCCTGCACCGTTATAGGGGGAAAGACAGCCAGAATAATCTTTACTTCCAGATGCAGATATCTCTGGGAGTTGTTCATTTTCCCTTCTGCCCTGGCATACATTCTAGAGAAGCTGCTAGTGATTAGTTATGAGGATTAGCACAGATTGTGTTCCCTCACACTCATTGCAAGCTGGTGTGCTGTATCTCCAGGCCAGATCTGGTTGCCACTCTGATCTGGGTCCAAACTGCTAGTTTTCAGGCTGCTACCTCCACTGCATCCATTCTGTTTTTGTCATTCGTTTCTCTCTTCTTTTTCTACCCTGTAGATCTTCGGGATGATTTTCACTTGTTGCTTGTACAGGAGTTTGAAGCAGGAGCCATATTAATAGCTGTGGGAACTCTGTCAGCTCCCCCTCTGCCACTTCCCTTAGTGCCTGCCAACCTCACCACCCTCCACTACCACCACAGAAGTGTCTGCAACCTGAGGACTTCTCTCTAATTAAATGCCTTACCTGCCCCTTTTGGGGAAAGTCACCCTCCTCATTGTGCACAAGGCAGCCAGGAATTCAGCAGGTCCTCTTCACTGTCAAGAAACAGAAGAGTTGTGGATCTTCTGCTAGAAGCTTTAGCAAAACAGTCCCTTGATGTAACTAGAAGGCAAGATTTATCTAGGGCCATTTCTCCTGGGGCTCTTCCTGAGCTAGTGTGAAAGTATTGGGATGCTACACAGGAACCAGTTTGCTTTCTGAGAAGTGGCTCAGCAGAGCTGGGCGTTGACTGTGAGGACAGATGATGTTTCTGCGCTGAGCTGGAACCAGATTCGAATCTCTCAGACACAGAAGATTTGTCATTCTCCCCCCAGCCTGTGCACTGATGTCCTAACACAGCTGTTCTCCACCTGAGAAGATGCCTGTCTGGTTGTGTGGGGCAGGAATTGCTCTCTGTGCTGATCAGGAGCACATCTTGATACAGCTGAGATCTTGTTGCAGCTCTAATATTGTCAAGATCTGGGTGCCTTAGTATTTCTCAGCAATCCTTCCTCCTCTTCCTTGAAGCTTCCCTGCAACGCAGTGCCATTAGGAGCCACAAGAAGCCTTTTGCCACCTAGCAATTCTAGAGCCAAAGACATTGGACTGCTTTCTAATTCTTTTGGGTCTAGTCTTTTTTATTTAGTGGCTTCCAGTGTGAATGAGAAAGCTCAAAGGCTTGTCCCCTGCTGTGATTTGGTGAAAAGCTGGTCAGTGGAGCTGACATATCAAGCTACCCTTTGGCCTGTTTGGTTAGTGGGAATGCCTCATCATATCTCTTACATGTTGAGAGACACCCTGGGCTGGGCTTGATGCTCTAATAAAAACCTCCAGGCTTGTCTCTCTTGGGTGGGAAATGAATATATACAAAAGTTGTATCAGCCTCCAAAGAGCTCATTAATCAGCTGAGGGTTTTCTGGCTTTAATGAGATCTGGAAGCCCACTTTCCAGACTATCCCAGAAGTAAACAGTAGAGTCAGCTTCCCCCAGTTGCTCCAGTGTATTTGGTAAATTGGTAGTGCTGGGTTTAACTGTCTGTTTAATTAAATAGATTTAATTAAATGTTATCTCTGCATTGGGATCCTGGCTACCTACAGGGCATAAATGTGACTGCTGCTGTGGAATTGGTGCCACTGTTATGCCAACAAGGTCTTAGTCTGAATTCATAGGACCTCGGGAGCCTCTCCTGTCCTGAGGGATTTGAACATTTTCTTCCTAATCATCCTGGAAAGGGCTCTCATCAAGAAGTCTGCTTGGTAGAGCAGAATTATTTTATTTTCACTTTCCTGACGTGCGTTGTGCACCCGTGAAGCAGAAAGGGCTGTAGGGATTTGGGGTTCCTAAGCAGTGAAGATAATGCCCTTCTATAAGCCAAGTAATTTACTCACACTCTTGTCCTTTTGGTGGTGCCTTGGCAGCATGCATCAGCAAAATCACCCAGAGCCCTGAAGGGTCTTGCAGCATTGTGGAGGGTTTGATGCACAGAGCAATCCCAGACTGGTCCTTCAGAGGGGGCTGAAGGGTGACAAGTTAAAATTCGGAGCAGGTAAATCTGGAACTCCCCTGTCAACAGGAGCACCGTGAAATAATCCCTAACACTAATGCAAAAAGAGGTGGAGGAACTGAGGTGTATCCGTTGTCCTACAGCAAAGGGAAAGAGGGAAGAGAAATCTAAATTATTGTGTAATGATCTAAAGGAGAAATCTCTAAATTATTTCTTGTTTTATATTCAAGTTTCTGACAAGTGCTGACTACTAACTGAGGAAAATATTGAGCACGTTGCTTGAAGCAATATTTCTACTTTCTTACATGTATCTTCTTACGTGCCTTTGCCTGTTTCCTTGAAATGCATTGTGCAGGGCTGGGAGAGGCCAGGAATGAGGCTGGAAGAATGAGATAGGAACAGAGCTGGCTTGTGTCCATTGAGTTGTTTTATACTTTTTCTCTGAATAATAATATTCATTGCTTTTTTTTTTTTTTTTTTTTTTTTTTTTTTAACTCAATTTAAGTTGCTGGCCAATAGCAAAATAAAGCTCTGTACTTACTCTGTGTAGCAAAACCAAGGGGTAACTTGAAGCATGTGTGTTATGTGGGTTCCTCAGCAGTGGAAGCAGCATCCTGCCCTGCGGGAAGAGTGGGGCTGTGCTGTGCATTTCCCCTACACAATGTGCTGTAGTCATTTCCCCCTCGCGTGACAGACGTGAAGAAGGCAGCAGGCCTGCCCTTTGTTATCCTTGCTGATATAAGGCTGAAATTCACTCATTACAAATGTGAAATATGCCTGTATTCAGCCAGATGGAGGTGTCTGCAGCTGATGGGCACGGCCACTCGGTGGCTCTCAGGATTCACAGCGCTGTTAATTTAGCTCCTGCAATTAGGTGGCTCTAATTCCAGCTGCTTCAGAGAGCAGCAAAGCTGTGGTGACACCAAGCCTCGTGCCGTTGAGCCTTCATACTTCAGGCCTCAGCCTTTTCACTGCCATCCCTGGCAGCCAAGCAAAGAACCACAGAATGCACTCAGCCACTGAAAATAACATGCAAAGGTGAACATCGTGAGCACGTGAAGAGCCTCAGGGAGGGCTGCTGCAGCATTCTGCAAAGAGCAGTGCTCTTTCAGCAGAAGGCTGTGGGTCACAGACCTTGACCCCTGTTCTCATGTCTCATCCTGTGCTCCCCTGTGTCACCAGGAGTGCGGCGTGGATTGTGCCGCCCTGTCTCACTCCCAAAGGGAAATGAACCCCCTTCAGCACAGCTGTTGTGGGATGACAACTGAAAAGGCTGTGGCGTGGTGTCTTTCATCAAGCAATTGCATAAAAGCCATTTCTTGCATTCTTTCTGAATTGGCTTCTGCAGTGTCTGTGAGGGGATTGCAGTCACGACTGTGCAGTGTCCCCATGGGCTGAGCAGCCGCAGGTCCTTGGGCGCTACCTCCTCCTGGGGCATCAGCACTGATTTCTTTCCCCCTGGACCTGGAGATTTGGGCTGCGCAGCTGTGCTGTGTTCCCCTGGGGTGCTGTGGGGGCCAGTATGCTTTGCTGGGAATAAACCAGAAAACAGATTGAACAACAGGCGGCTTCTGTAAGAGCCCAGACTGTGGCAGTCACCCTATTTCTGCTCTGTTTCAAACAAGATGCTGACCCCAAACCAGGTCATAGACCTGGAAGGATTTTTTGTTCTCAAAGTGCTGTTGGTGCCCTTTTCTTTGCTGTTTCTCAAGCCTGCCTTTGGCAGTGGTTGTAATTTCCTCATTTCCCTGTGGGGTTGAGCAAAGCTGCAGTGGGGGAAAGAGAGGAGCACAGGAAGATGGTAATGTCCTCCATCACTAGATGCGACAAATGTGCTGCACTTGGGAAATGACACAGGGACATAGCCTCTCCTTTCCTGCTGTGAAGTCTCCCCAGAAGGACAGACACTAAACCATGCTCCTTGCCAGGAGACTGCCCATTTGCTCCCCTTATTCCGTGCTTTTTCTCTACTTAGTAGCTCTCACAGCAGAATAAAATGATCCTAATGGGCATAGCCTTGCTTCAATTGCCCTTGATGCAAGATGGCCCTCATAGTCCTGAGTGCTCTTATGTCAGTGCGTCTGAGCTTGCTGCTGTGCTACAAGCCCAGGTGCCTGCTTACAAGCAGCCTCCTTCCCCCAGTTATGGGGCAACTGAAGACTAGTGGGGGCAGCTTTGAGCTCGCTGCTGGTGTTTCTGCATAGCATCTGGCCCTGCAGCCTCTTTAAATCCTCACGGTGCATCTGTCCCCTTGTCTCAGCTGTACCCATGTCTGCACACCCCTGGGAGAAGCTGATGGCTGCTCTGCTCCTGTGGGATCTCTGCACTGCTCCCTGTCACAGCACTGAGCAGAGACAAGCTGCCTCAAGCAGGACTGAATGCTGGCACCCACATACCACATCAACAGAGCCTCCTCCTCCCTTGCAGTGAAGGAGAGGAGGCCCCAGATGTCCCTATTCCCACCCAAGCAGCCCTTTCTGCAGGATGTCAGGATGAAGGCTTGAGCCTCTTGCTTTTTTCTACGAGGGAAACTGAGGCAGTATCCGAGCTCACGCAGCAGGAAACACTTGGCAGCACACCACATTCCCAGCACATACTTCAGCTGTGATAAAGCACCCTCTTTCCTCCAAGAACTGCCTGGTTAATCCTCTTTTAACCTTCCCGAGCAGACTTTATTGCCTGGTTGTTTTTCTCACATCACTTTATGTGCTTTGATTACTCACTGCCCATCTGGGGCTGCAGTGCTCTACAATAAGAAATGATTACCAGCCACTGGGCTACGGGTTGGGGGCTGCCTCTGCTGGGAGAAGTGAATGACACTTGAGGGGTGGGCAGAAGGATGGGTGTTCCATGGCCCTGCAGTGATTCTCGTGCAAGGCTGCAGCAAACCCCAGGTAAGCCCCAGCTGTCTGTGTCCTCTGTGTCCTTTGTGCCCACTGCTGGCTCCTCTCCCCACATCGTCCCTCTGCTTGCTGAGCGCTGCCAGGCATTATTTGATATTTAGCTAAATCAAATCTGGTCCCACTTAAACACCCAACTCTTTGAGATATCTCAGCTTAATTCTCAATTTATCCTTCTTTGTGCTTTCTGTCCTTGCAGGTCTGTCCCAATCCACAAATGTGATCAATATTTATAATTTATTTCCTTTTCCCTCTCTTAGCTTCTCCCACTGCTCTCTTCCAGGACTTTAACAAAAGTTTTTAATAGCATTCAATTCAGGGCTGACCTGCTGTTTCCTTTGCTGATGGGCTCATGAATGATTCAGCTGTTTGGGCTCTATCTGGCAGCTGTGACAGAATTGTTGATAAAACCCCATTTCTGAGGTTTGGCCCGCTCTCCATGTTCAACAATGCGGAGCAGGGAGTGAGCCTTAAAAAACAGAATCACAAAGCTCCTTACGTATGAAATACAGTTTTCAACCAAAAAAAAACCCCAATGAAACAAACAAACAAAAAAAAACAACACAAATTGAACTGTATTTTACCATTCACTTGCTGCAGTTAATGGCACCAAATGGGGCTGTTGAAATGACAGACCAAGCACGTGGGCTCTCTGTGCCTCTTGTTTTTCCCCTTTGCACATGCAGAGTTGATCATATTTTCTCTTCCTTGTCCCCTTATGTTGCAAACCTCTTTTTGCTGCCTGTACAAGCTGTGCCACGCTGCACAGCCCTGGTTCAGCAATAGACATCTTGCTCCAAAGCAGGTATTACCCCACAAAACTGCTGCGCTCCTAAAGCCATCAATGGGAAACTCAAATCCATGCCTAACTGCTGCCTCTGCTTTAGCATCAGCAATTTCTTCTGGTTTTGCTCCATTGCGTAAGCTGTAGCTTCACATAAAGTCAATCTTGCTACTTCAGCTAAGGTTTCTGGAACACGGGCACAAATAAATTCTGCTCTCCACGCACCGCTGGAGAAGCTGCTGTTGTTTCACTGCTTTAGGGTTCAGAGCCCTCCCTGGGTCCAAGAGCACCAGTGAGCTCCTGGGAAATCACAGGAACAAGGAAAGGGAGTTCAGGAGCTGCTCTGGAGGAAAAGGAGAGTTTAGAGTTTAGCTGGTCATCTTCCCAGGGACGGGGATGGCTCAGAATAGGGTCACTCTGCCAGCAGGACTCTGTGCTGCTTTTCTCAGGAAAGGAACCTGGAAGCAGCCAAGTGTGCAACCAAGGGGCTCTGGGCTCTTCAGCTCACCTCAACTGCCTGCAATTAAGGCAATTATTAGAGTTAGTTGAGCTAATGGCTTTTTCCAGCCTACATCCCTGCTCCTAGATAACCTTCTGAGCCAAGTTCTGATCTCCCTTGTGGGATTCACAGGAGGCAAATGTTCAACCTCCTGTTTCCTGCAGCTAATTGCTCCCACCCCCTGCCCTGGTGCAAGTGGCAGAGATATCCCTAATTGCTCTTAATGAAACCAGTTGGTGGGTGAGAGTTATTTGAAGGCCAGAGCAGGCTCTCAGGAGGGCCTGGCATTCTGGGGATCCATGCTTGAGCTGAGGGGGACGCAGGATATGTGTGAAACAGGGCAGGTTGAAGTGCTTCAGGGACTATTTGATGGTGACCTATAAGGATGAATGAAGAGAAATGGGCCACTGCCTGCGCTTAGAGGAGTCAGAGCTGCCTAGGTTTGCTGTGTCTCATCGCACAGCTAGAAAAGAGCAAACCTTTCTTTTCAGATGGCATTTGGGCAAAAATATAGATAGGAAAATGGATTTAGAAAGGGTAAGTGAAAAAAGCAAGCTATGTCCATTAATCAAAACCCAAATGAATGTGTTGTGCACCCCCGGTTCCTCACCAGGCAGCTGAGAAGTCCTTAACTTTAAGCATTGCTCAACAAAACATCAGAGTGTTATCAACGTGATTCTCATCCTAAGTCCAAAACATGGTTCACACCAGCCACTATGAAGAAAATTAGCCCTATTCCAGCCCGAGACTAGGATACCTGACTGAACCTGGGAGCAACAGGAGAGACATCTGCCAAAACCACCTCAGAGAGATGACTGAGCTGTAGGTGTCTTTAGGCACCCCAGATGCTGTTCTCGCTCTGATGAGAGCTCATTTTGTTTCTGCTTCTTTCATCTCTGATGTGCAGGTGGCAGAGGGCAGCCATGGAGGGGGAACACAGAGGCCTTGTCTCCATGTCCTCTCCTGTCAGGGCTGGGATGTGTTGAGAAGCACCTCAAGCGATAACTCCACAGCTCCTGTACCCTCGGCTCCAGTGGCCCAAAATGATGGATGGGAGCAGTCAAACAGAAACAGGTGGTGTTCAGGTGGCAGGAGAGCCAGCAGGGCCTGGAGGTGCCCATAGGGTTGGCAGTGCCCAACCAGCAGGGCTGGCTGTGGAGCTGGGGACCTTGAGCTCAGCTGCTTCCTGAAGCATCATTTCATGTTGCCTCTACCTCAACGTGACTTTAATACAACTTTTTAAAGTATGCATTTGTATCTAGTAAGCCCTTGAGTACAGCAGAGTCCCTTTTATATTGAAATTCAGGCTCCTCAATAACATTTTATTATGAGGCTTGCTATTTTTGGAATTGCTGTTACTCTGTTATGAGCAAGGC